TTTGAATCTTCTTCAAATATAACTTTTGCAGCAGCATTGACATGATTATTGATGAATAAAACTATGAAAGTGTGTTGGAAAAAAAACAACGTAGAGAAAGTAAGTTGCTATTTCTTGCATCCTCTGCCACGTATGATCCCGAGTACTTTTGAAGCTGCTTCAAATGTAACTATTCAACAACATTAGCTAGAAAAGTTTTCTTGACCGAGGTTGACCTTGACCCCATGGTTTTGTGGTAGCTTCACTTCTACTCTTTCGATCTTGCACCAGTTGATTCTGATGGCGGTGAATAAATGGATGTGGAGCTACCAATTGGTTGATTTCATTTATACATGTTTACTTCAATTTATGATTAATTTTTATTCAATATGCACTTTTCATAAACCATGATTTAGCTTCCACCCCCTTTTGGTATGGATTCATTATCATTTTTTGTCATTAGTAGGCATTCTTAGAAACAAAAAAGAAAAGGAAACACCATATAGTTGACATAACCCTACACACTAATGCAATTATTTTATCAGAAATTAAGGAAATCAAGAACAAATAAAAAGATTCATTGTATACATTTATTCCAAATATATTTCAAATAGAAAACTCATTACACTTTCTATTTCCATAACACGATTACCCTTTATTATGTCTTAGATTAATAATTAAGAATATGAAATATCGTTAATAGTGTGAAAAAACATTGAGACGTGTATTTAACTCAACTCTTGGTTTTTAAATTTGTGGATCATAATGAATATGGTATTTGCTTTATGAACAAAAACAATTCAATGTTTGTATAAATAAATATGACATTTGATAGAAATGAAAAAATTAAGATGTACCTGTCCACTAGATAAAAGGAATACATTTAATTTTCCATCTAAATTAGAGGTCGTTTGATAGTTGCTGACTGAAAAAGTACTGATTGGGAAAGGTCTGTCTGAGTAATAAATTCTGACGGAGTAAAAAATAATGTTGTTTGATTGTACATTTGACTGAATGTGCTGACTGATACAAAATGACAATTTTACCCTTATGTTTTGTACAATAATGGATGATAATAATAATAATAATAATAATAATAATAATAATAATAACCAAATAATATAACCAAACATCACAAGTTTACAACTCACAAATCAATACTGTCATCTTGAGTCTATAAAACATACTAGCAATACCAATAAATTCTGCCAAATTGATTTCTTGATTGAATGTTATAATTTTATCCTTAATTGCTTATGTCATAGCTAGACATACAAGTATACACATTTTAGAGGAAAAGAAATAGAAAACAAACAGTTTCTACAAATGCAATGGGCCAATGGTTATGTTATGTGAATGACATATGCATCCTCTATAAATATTGTCTCTTCGTAATCATCGATAAAAGCATCTGTTGGCTTATGCATATATTTTGTTCTCACGCATACCCATACAATTCCCCAGTTTGATCTCATCCCCTGTTATGATCATACATAATTACAAGTACTTTATCAATACAGCATGACAAATGAGCATATGAAATTTAATTTCCACCACTCCATATTAAATACTTCCCAAAATTGATTGGTGATAAATTTGTTGCATAATAAAGCAAAACACACATTAAGAAACCAAACTACAAAACGTTGGTATATTTGTTTATCACGAAATCAAAATCTAATCTTCATATGGATAAATCTACCCATGGACCCAATACAAAGGCCATGTGAGTTTAGTGGAGGAAATGAAGATCGAAAAACCTGTTGGTTATGGTGGCTTCAACAACTTCAACAACTTAGATAACCTAAAACATCCATCACTCTTGTTCATGCCATTAATTATGTTAGCGTATTGCCGGTGCCTTTTCCATCGTAGTACTTCCACATATATCATACTTCAAATCACTGTTAATCACTTGCACACATATATATGCGTGTGTTCAGGTATGAATAAAATCAGCAAAGGCACATTCAACATCACACATGAAGTGAACAACAAATCACTTGGAACAAATCATTTGAAAATTCAAAACTTTTATCCATCTCAATAGCAAAAGAACTTTGAACAACAAAAGAGATGCAGAAATCGAAACAACAACAATCGAAACAACAAAAATCGAGAAGTAAAAATCGAAACTTTTAGAGAAATAATGGTAGAAATCGGAACTATTGATGCAGAAATCGATGCTTGCTAGTCGATGATGGCAGAAATCGGAGGTTAGGGGTGGCAAATCGGGTCATCGTGTCGTGTTTTTGTCTGACACGACACGACACGACAATGTTTTAATTAACACGACACGACACGATGTCATGTTTTTTTAACTAACACGAAAACGAATCAATTAAAAAATGACAAACACGACACGACACGACAAATATAAAATAAAATAAAAATTAGTTTATTTAATTAATATTTAATCATATATAAAACGAAAAACACGACAAACAAATGCTAAATCGTGTCAATTTCGTGTCGAATTTTGAACACGAACACGACACGACACGACATCGTGTTTTTACACTTGACATGAACACGACACGAACATGAATTCGAATTTCAGTTTCTTCCCAATTTCATTTCGTGTCGTGTATTTTTGTCGTGTCGTGTCATCAACTGCCACCCTTATCGGAAGTATTTATGAGACGAGGAAGGAAAAATCGATGCTTATCTGATGAGACGAGACGAGGAAGCAGCTTCGCCGATGCTTGTTGGTTGCAAGAGAAAAAAACGATTCGTTGAAAGATGAGAAAGAAAGGGAGGCGTGTGTTACCCGTGGAAATTTTTTTCCCTTACCTCAGTCAGCTTATTTTTTATTCCTTTCCCGGTCAGATGTTTATTTTCGAGTCACATGGGTAAAAACTGAATATCAAACATATATTGTTGACCGAGTCAACCCAATATGTCTGATCCAACTCGGTCAGACGAAAAACAAACGGGGCCTTAGACTTTAACTCCAACTTCAACCACTTTTCTCCATCTTTAAGTTTTCTATCTTCCACAGTTGATACGTAATCCTCTGGCGTTGTTTCTATGGCTGATACTAGTAGCCAAGATTCATCATTACATACATGGACGATGAAATAACACAAAAAATATGAAGAAAAGACTAACCATGCCATTGAAGTGAAACTCGACTCCAAAATCAAAAATAGAAAAAAAAAAGTTACGGGTAAGATAACCAAAGTCGAAAATTAGGGCTCAGGTTGCTCGTGTTTGCCGCCGACCTCACCATCTCCGTTTGCAACAGCCAACACGATACCGATGCTAGCAACTGAACCCAGAGAATCATGTTAGAATTTCAGAGAAAGTGGAGAAGATGGGAGTAGGCGGAACAGGGAAAAGGCAAATTTCACAGCGCCGACGACGTATGTTGTGTAGGCGTCGACCTCTGTTGTGCGCGTCGCCGGTATCAGTTGTGTGTTTCGTCGGCGTAGGCAAGCGTTTTCTCCGGCTCTGACGCGTATGAGTTGTGGTGTTATTTTAGGAGAATGCCTATTGTCAGTGGCGGACGCAGAAGGTTTTAGTAGGGGTGACACTAAAATTTTTTTTCCGAAAAAATCTAAATTAGCAGTGACACTCGTATTTTAAGCCGGTGCACCTAATAGAAAAAAACATAAAAAAACATAAAAAAAAAATAAAATTTACACTACGTGCCGGAATCGGAGCAGTGGCCCGGGACCCCCCGGGCACCACTAAGGTCCGCCACTGCCTATTGTTGAAGGTGAAGAACTTCGTCAAATATGGAAGCGATAGTAAAGCCACGAAACAGCGATTGATTGGAGTATATAGACTATGATATTGGAGGAACAACAGAAGGCAACACATGGTCAACATACAGGAAAGGCAAAAAATTTCAGTTGAGTACGAGTACGAGCTGATCACCAACATATCCCAACTATCAACAGCCAAACATGAAATCTCTCTTGAAATACTATCTATTATTGTTCATGAATGGTACTCATATTCATATGTATATAATAGGCATGAGTTTTTATTAAGATATTTGAAATTGTTTTTGGATTGTTAGTTTTTTGTTTGAAATAAAAGCTAAAAGTTTTTACTGGCTTACTGTCAAACATGTGTTTTTCTCGAGTTTTTTTTAATTATAAATAAAAACTAAAAACTTTAAATAGCTACGATACATAATACGGCCTAAACTAGTCTCACCTTTTATTCATAATTTCTTGACACCATCTTTAAAACATTTATAAAATTACTAAATCTTAAAAGATCCCTTTTTAAGTTGAATATTAGTATAATACATAAATCATATGATTTCATATGATTACCATATGTATCATCATATAGAACTTTAATAATCATATAAAATAATAGTAGAAGGTAGGCCTCATAAATAAGAACGGTCAAGTTAATATCCAATCCAATCATTGTATTGATAGAGTATAATATAATAAATTTTTTATATTTTTATAAGATAAAATTAAAAAAGATTTTTCATATAACTAGTAGCGAAAATAAAAAAATTCCCATATATATAAAAAAAACCATCATTTATATTACTTTTTAGATTATAATAGCTATTCAGTTTATGATTTTATAAAACTTTAAACATAAGTAATGAGTGTACATGCTAAGCTTTGTATATAGTTATAATAGTAGATTTTTATTTTCGATAATAATAAAAAAGCAAAACGCTTTCTATTTCTCAAACACAGAATGTGGGAAAGATTCATATTTTCATTTTTGCAAGTTCATTAATATTATACATTGTACCAACAAGATAACACTTTAGGATAAAAAATCAATTATATATATCGTAATCAATTGAATTAAAATTATAATAATAATTTTTATCCGACTACATTAAAAAATTTCCACTTCAAAATGCATTAAATTGCTTTCTTCCCCCTTATCACATGCCAGCCACCCACACCCCTCCCCTCCTATATATTCCTTTCATTCCAACAACAATCATCTCTCTTACAACAATTAAGAAACAAAAAAAAAAAAAAAAAAAAAAAAAAAACCCTTCCATAATCCATAACAAATAAACCCCAAGAATGTTTGGTTTATCAGAGCAAAATTTATCAGGCAGAAGATGCATTTGGGTCAACGGCCCAGTGATAGTTGGGGTGGGGCCTTCAGGGCTCGCTGTATCTGCTTGTCTCAGGGAGCAAGGCATTCCTTTCGTTGTTATCGAAAGAGCTGACTGTATTGCTTCACTGTGGCAAAAATGCACCTATGATCGTCTAAAACTTCACCTCCCGAAAAAATTCTGTCAACTTCCAAAACTACCCTTCCCCGAAGAGTACCCCGAGTACCCCACTAAGAGACAGTTCATTACGTATCTCGAAAATTACGCCAAAAAATTCGACATCAAGCCTCAATTCAATGAAAGAGTCCAGTCAGCAAAATACGATACGACATGTGGCGTATGGAGGGTTAAAACCGTCTCGACAATGGGCTCCTTCCCCTCTGAGACGGAGTATATCTGCCAGAAGCTTGTAGTGGCAACAGGAGAAAATGCCGAAGGGGTAGTACCGGAAATCGAAGGCCTACAAGACTTCTCCGGTGAAGTTATCCACGCAAAAGACTATAAGTCCGGCGAGAAGTACACCGGAAAGAAAGTTTTGGTTGTTGGTTGTGGAAACTCCGGCATGGAAGTCTCTCTTGATCTCTCAAACCACAATGCGAAGCCATCAATGGTGGTTCGAAGCTCTGTAAGTAACAATTAAAAACCCTCGATAAAAATTAAAAATTACGAGTATATATGTTTTCCAAGAAAAGAAACATTTCTAATCCATGTTTGGAATTTTGTCACAGGTTCATGTATTGCCGCGTGAAATCTTGGGAAAATCTACGTTCGATTTGGCGATGATGCTGATGAAATGGCTACCTTTATGGTTGGTAGATAAACTGCTATTGATCCTCACGTGGTTGATCCTCGGAAACACACAAAAATACGGAATCAGAAGGCCAAATTTAGGCCCATTACAACTGAAGAACTATCATGGAAAAACCCCTGTTCTTGACATCGGTGCACTCGCAAGAATCCGATCAGGGGACATCAAAGTTGTCACTGGAATCACAAGATTCCACCGGAGTTCAGTCGAGCTCATCAATGGAGACATTCTAGAAATCGATTCAGTCGTTTTAGCAACTGGGTATTGCAGCAATGTTCCTTATTGGCTTCAGGTACCAAAATGATTGAATATTTGCTCTGTTTTTCTATGCAAACTCGTAACAAGATTTGGTTTGACTGATTGAAACTTGTCTTTTAATGAATATATAGGAGAGTGAGTTATTTGGCAAAAATGGATTCCCAAAACGACAGTCTCCCGATGGTTGGAAGGGAAAAGAAGGGTTGTATGCAGCAGGGTTTACAAGAAGAGGACTTGCAGGCGTTTCTGCAGACGCCATGAAAATAGCTCAAGATATTGGGAATGTTTGGAAAGAGGAATTAAAACAGAAGAAAAGGAAAGTCGCTACTCACAGAAGATGCATTTCAACTTTCTAGTTTTTACTTTTAGTATGTGTGGACTTTTTTTATTTTATTTGAATTTTGGAAAAGGAAATTAGAAATAGTTGGAACCTTAAGACATCTCCACGAAAAGAGCCCAAACATAATTTTTAACAAGTTTGGGCATTTTCAAATTTTGTAATATAGTTAGGTTGACGAGGCATTATTTTATAGTAACTTTTGTATTAATTTGGACGGTTTATGGAAGTACAAAAATGTATAATTTACGTTTAAACAAAAAAAATATATTATTAATAAATAATTTCTAAAATAATGAAAGCGTAATTTATTCAAAATGATTTTGTTTATGATATTCTTTTAAAAAGTTCAAAATTCATAGTTTCTTTTTTAGCCAATGTAATAGTTACGTATGTTAACTGATTTCATGAAACCAAGTATACAAATGTATAAGGTCATTGGATATAAATCGGTCTTATAACATAAAAAAAATGTCATTGTCATTATACCGATTGATGTTCATAGTTGTTGATGTAACCCGGAAATCATCACGAGGCTGATTGAGTCGAGATCTTGGATATGTGCTTCGTTGCCGCTAGCGAGCCCCGATTTGATTCATGTTACACTCATAAACGAGATCGTTAGAGTCGCCCCAGGACTTGTTGGGAACTTTAGGGTTTGTGGTGGAGATCTGGATACCGACTTGGATCGTGATATCACTTTCCGAACTGATATTTCTACCCTATGCCTGGGTTACAAGAAATTCAGCCTACGATAATCCAAGTGGACACTTACGTTTCTAGGCACATAAAACGTAAGTCAATATGCTAAAGGGTTCTGTGAATGTGTGATAAAAAACGAGAGCTAAAGAACGTCCCCCACTTCTGGAAAGGAAGAGTTATTTATATATTAAACACGATTAGGGTTTCATTAGGGTTGGGCCGTCATTAGTTGCTTTGGAAGCAAGTAATATTAATCCGGATTAAGGTTACCAAAACTAACGAGTTTCGTTAGTTTTACCATAATCACCCTCAGCGGGACCCCAGCCAGGGGCTCTGCCCCTTGGACCCCGCTAGGGGTGCTGCCCCTAGACCCCGCCAAAGGGGCGCTGCCCCTTTGGAAACCCCAGACCCGGGGGCGCTGCCCCCGGACCCCCGACTAGTCGTCGAACCGGCTTCTGACTCGATCTTATACATGCGTGCACTCCGCACAACCCCGTACATATATTAGAGTACAAATCATGAAGCCCCTTAGCTCACATGTTAGTTCCAGTTACTTAAAACGACATGGTGACACTAAAATCACCAACAGGACTTGCGTCCCGGGAGTAGCCTCCGACGGTCAAGTTAGTATCGATACAAAACGAGGTCGGGTCATTCGAGTGGAAGGAACCCGATTCTATGTAGAGAGAGAGAGAGACCTCCTTTTGAAGTGCCTTAAGAGGTGTGTGTGTGTGTGTGTGTGTGTGTATATATATATATATATATATATATATATATCGTATAATCAGATGTACCTTAAATCTTGGGGAGAAAGCTTAATAGTTGGACATGAGAAGGTTGAGGTGACTGATGTACTTTTCTCCTTGGGAAGGAGCAAGTCGAAAATGATCGAACCGTCTAGAACTGGCCGAACTGCCTAGAATTGGTTACACTGCCTAGAACTGGTCGGACTGCCTAGAACTGGCCGGACTGCCTAGAACTGGCCGAACTGTCTAGAACTGGCCGATAGGATATACATATCAACAGTTATTATTATGGATCTATAAATAAGATTTATCGGGGATTTCAAGTCATTATACTGATTGATCTACTTACAGGAATGATGTCTAGACTGGATTTAGTGAGATGTTTAAAGTGAGATTTCCAAACAGCATATTCTGTATACAAAACAGATCCTACCTCCGATATGATCCTACCTGGTTATTTCTTACTTGATAAATCTTGATGTAGACATTGCGATTAGTGAGGAATCTAGACTATCATTAGTCATCAGGAACATTAGACTAAGACTCAGTATTAATCATACGTAGGTCACGTCAAAAGGAAAGCTAAGGTGTTAGGCGAACCTCTGCCTAAATTACAAGTCAATCCACCTAAGTCAAGTGAGTGCATAGTCTCTTTTATGAACATGATTTTAATACAAATATTAATTAAAGTATTAAATATATGTCGAAAAGTTTATATATGAGCTATATGCTTATTTTCTGGAATATATGTTAGAAATGTATTTGATGATATACGATATGCGAACCAAATATAGTTTGATGAAATATGTATATGTATATGTGTGTGTGTGTGTGTGTGTGTATATATATATATATATATATATATATATTACATGATAATAATAACGGAAATAGTTTTAGAGAGAAAGATAAGAGTATATTAATACCTAAATACTTTGTACTAAAAAAATACACTAAATTAGGATAGTGTTGTCTAAACAGAGTTGGTGAGCCTAGTAGTTTTGCCCGTTAATGAGATAAGACTTATTATAGATGCCTAGTTCAATTAAGTTTGATATCGGGTAGTCTCATTCGGAGAATGTATGTAAGTTAGGAACGGAGAGTAGAGTTATGTTCCGTGACACTTTTAGGTGTTGAAGGTACAAAATACGTACCAGAGTACAAATTGTAACATCCCGTTTAAAATAGAATAAATAAATAATAAACCCGGAACCCCGAGAGGTAATTTTTATTATTGTTTTATATTATTATAGCCCAAAATCAAATAATAATTAGCGGGGTGTTGGTTTCGAGGGGCCAAGTGTCACACCCGAAAAATTCAAGCCAATTTAAACTTTTTAAAAACATTTCAAAATCATCAAAACATTACAATCTGGTTTCCAAAATGTATAATATCAGAGTTTTCCCAGAAACATAAACAAAACATGAGGAGCTGTACGATCACGCCTTTGCCTTGCCACGATCCCCTGATGTATCTGAAACAATAAACTGAAACTGTAAGCCCGAAAGCTTAGTGAGTTACCCCCAAAATACTGATACACATACAGTCCACATAACCATGTCAGCAACATCATAACATAACAAACTGAACAACATATAATGGGTCCACAGCTTTACAGACTGGATTACCCCTGGTCCCACAGTATGAGTCTGGATTGCCTTCAGGGCCCACAGCTCACATCTGCATTGCCATCGAGCCCACAGTACGAGTCCCCCTTAGCCCGTATCTGGAATGCTCCTAGGGTTTGTTGGTTACCGCACGGAGCAGTACAACCTCAACCCATCCCACATAGCATATAAATCATGTAACATAACTACTGAGCATGCAATAACCATGTAACATCACCGGTAGTCCTACAGATCTACCTAACTGGCATAACCACTAGCATGCAACACTAACTCATAATCAACATAACCACTGCTAGGATAACATATCCAATGGGCCGGCCTTGGTGCCTTAGACCCCTTAGTATAGTGAGGATAACTCACCTCACAATGTCGCACTGAAAATGATAGGCTCAAACTCTCGAATCACCAACACGAACTCCACCACCTATAGTTACCATAAAACCCTTTTTCCATAAATTTCCAAATTACCAAAATGCCCCCAAAGGTCAACTGGTCAACCCTTGGTCAAAGTCAAAGTCCACAGTCAAGGTCAACAGTCCATGTTGACTCGACTCGTCGAGTGCAGTTCACCGACTCGTCGAGTCCTTCCTGAACTCAAGAAGTCATGAAATCCTTGGTTGACTCGTCGAGTTTCCCTATATCTCGCCGAGTTCATGCGTGTCCAAAGGTTGGGAAAACCCTCGCCGACTCGCCGAGTCACTCGACTGACTCGCCGAGCCCACGAAAACCTTCATCGGACTCGCCGAGTCTACGACAATCTTCATTGGACTCGCTGAGTCGTTCATACAACTCGCCGAGTCTCTTCAGTCCTTTATTCATACAGACGATCTTAAGCCATGCTAAGGCTCCAAATTGTAGATCCAGCTTCCCAAGGCATGTTTATCACGTAAGGTTGCAAACTTTACGTGCATGCATGGCTCTAAAGGCTCTTAATGACAAAAACAAGCTTACAATGGAGTTTTTACACTCAAGGAAGGCTTCAAACATGACCAAGCTCGAAACTTTATGAACCTAGAACCCAAGAAGGGTCCAGATCTGAAGTTGCAACTTCAGATCTAGCTCATACACCACAATATCATCATAACCTAGCCAAAACAACCCTAAACCTCACCCAAATGAGATCTAGAAATAAATGAGGTAAAAGTGACGACTTGATACCTTCAGATGATGCTAACTGAGGTAGATTTATGATCCCCCACACTTTCCTTGCTTCTAGCCTCTTGCCCTCCAAGTTTTTCTTTCAAAGATCCACTTTCCAAAGCTTAAAACACACAAGAATGAAGCACCACACGGATTAGGGTTTTCTGGACTCTCAAGGGACTGTAAAGAGGCTGAAGGAGGCTTATGATTCTTTAAATAGGGTGCAAAACCCCGGGATTTAGGGTTTCATCTGCCAGCTCCTACTCGTCGAGTCCCTTCTTGGACTCGGCGAGTAGGTCACTAAACTACGTGGACCAACCCGCTGCTACTCGACGAGTAGGGCAACCAACTCGTCGAGTAGATCTTGGAATCACAGAAATTCTTATTTAAATCAATACCTGAGAATCGGGGCGTTACACCAAGTGACAAGATTTGAATATCCGGGGGTTAAAGTGTAATTTCAGGATTTATTTTGCAAAGGATTTTAGAAGTCAGTGGGTGTTTGGTATCATTTGGACTTAATATGAAAGGATTTTGGATGGCTGGGGCTAAAAGAGTAAATCCTGGACCTAAATTGAAAAGGATTTGTAGAGGGAGGGGCTGTTTGGTAAATTCGGACTTAATTGTAAAGATTTTCAGAAGCCAGGGTATGATTGGTAATTTTTAAACTAATTGTGAAAGGATTTTTAAAAGGCAGGGACTAAAGGAGTAAATTTCGGACTTAAGTTGAAAAGACTCTTATGAGGAGGGACCAAACGTGTTAATTATACGCATGTTTGATGGTGGACACGGGTTGAACCCG